CCCCTACCTGTACCCTGACTGCCCAAACCTTATCCACACCCCACCCCCAGAAAGCCCCCCCGAACTCCCTACCCCCCCGTCTCTTGACTGCCCCCTCCAGAACCTCCCTGCCCCTTCTCCGACCCCCTGGCCCTCTTTTTGTTGGCCTTCGCCTAACATCTCTGTGAGCTTGCTCAGGAACGGCCGGAGCCGTTCGTCCCAGCACGCTGAGGAGCGGGGAAGGAGCTCCAGACTGCCAGAGGTGATCTGCGAATGCAGGGAGGGAGGGAGTGATTTCTGCTGCAGGGGAGAGGAGGAGGGTCTCCCTCTGGCTGTCAGAGACCCTGCTGCCCTGTTAGCCGCGCGCGCTCTGCATGTGGGGGGAGAGAGTCCGGACATTTACAAATTCCCCCCGGACGCTATTTTTAGCTCAAAAAGCCAAACATGTCCGGGGGAATCCGGACGAATGGTAACCCTATGTACAGAATACATAAACAATTTCATTCGTGCTATCAAACGCAGAGGACTTGACTGGTCTACTTGAAATAAGCTAGGACTCATGATCAAAACCTGACAGTTGGTGACAGTGTCTGTCACAGGATTTATGACTCTCAATCTCCCTAGGAGTATTATTACATACAACTGATGATACCTAGTAGGGAAATCTGCTTGCTAATGAAACTGAGTGAGGTAGGTCAAGGCCAAAGACCCAAAAGCTGTCACCAGAGAACTCAGAACGCAGCTAAAGTTACAAGTGGCAATCATAAGGTGGCAGTTGCAGCAGGCACCTTCCTTGCCCTGCTGCTCCCAATGGAGAGTGCCTGGCCTGTCTGCCTATCAGAAGATTCCAGTTGAATTCTAGGCAACATCATACCCCACAAAAGGAAACCTGTCTGGGACAAGGCAGGAAACTGCAACTCCCTCTTACCTCATACAGATGAGAGGGGGAGGGCAAGCAGGGGTCACTGACTCCCACATCGTCCCTCCTTCCTAAAGAAAACACCACCCGTGAAATGAGGGAGGGAGGATGCCTGTTGAAGGAGAAATATCTACCAGCACAGTCATTAAGATGTGCGTGTACAGAAAGAAATCCACTAGGGCAATTATGAGGCTGTGCACAAATGCACATAATAAAGCTGATTCACTAGTGCATTTGGCCAGTTTTTCATCGTATATCTCCATTGAAATCAACGGTGTTGCACTGGCATTATTTTTATTGCAAATACATTAGAGTGGAATTTGATGACTGCTCCTTGAGATATTCACAAAACACTGGGTACTGCTATACAGCACATTGTGTGACAAGCAAAGCAGTATGTTAGGTTCTCTATAATGTATCATGGTTGTTAAAGTTTGAAATATCTTAGCTTGAAAATCCTAATGCTCCATAGAATGTGCAACTGCCAATTCCTTCATCAGAAAAGATTTATTAGAGAGCAGTTCATTGCAGTAAACAATGAAGGTTTGTAAATCCATGCAGGTTTGAAGACCAATCCTGCAAATTCACTCTCTTCTGCAAACCCTCTGAAACACTCAGTACACAAAGCTGGATAATAAGAAAAACCCATGCCACAGACCATATCCAAAAAAAAGAGAAAGGAAGCATAAAATGAAGGGAGGAGAGGATGAAATAGGGGAAAGAGTGGTGGGAACAGCTAGGAA